GACTGCAACTTGAGAGGACTTGTAAAGCTGCCAATGTTTTTACTTGGAGGTATCCTTCTTATTAAAATTATTGTTCATTCTGTTAATTTCTTTGGTCATTAAGGTTAACAGCCAAGTTCCCTTCCCTTTTATCCGGAGAATCTAATTAGTGCCTCCGGTCCTAAATATAAGATAGGTAGTACTATAGAATTTAGAACCTTATTTTGAGATGAAAATCATGGCATGCCTCTCCCCCTTGATCACCCACGCCAATTAACATGGTATGTATCACAGGCTTGTGAAAGATCCTTGCCCTCGTTTGCTTATTCCTAAACCAAAATATCAAAGAACTTGCATCCCAAATACCTAGCAGCTGGAGTGGGTAGAAAGAAACAGCTGCTAGAAAAATCACTATTGTTAGGATATATGAGGATACTTTGCCTATAACTATAGATTGAGCTGAGCTCTCTCTTCCATGTATATGATCAGATGCATATGCAAAAGGTCTTCTTACATTTTTTTTCCCTGCATATACAACAGAATTTGCTGCAAGCCTCTTTCCTAACACCCCCCCTTTTTTTTTCAAAATTGTGTGCTCCTGTGTATAATACTCACTTGTTATGAGATCATCTCGTTCTCATTGGCTATTTTCTTCTATCTAGCCATTATGTACTTGAATCGCTGATGATTGGAACTAGAGAACATGTCCCAATTGCTGATGCATTCCTGCATTTTTGTGTTCCAGGCAGCATTATCCCAAGTATGGAGGATTCTGGCCTTGTCAAAAGTGGCTGCATCTTTTGGGCAGCTTGTGGGATGTTTTCTTATTGTTTTTTCTTTTGTTGCACCATGTATATTGGACCTGACAAAGAGGACATGGAATGATAGATTTGAATGATTTATTTGTCAAGCTGTTAGCGAATTTTTGACCACCACATCCAACTTGTTTATTCAAAGAATGTCTTCGTAAGGGGTTTCAACTTGTGCTACTTAACTAGATTTCATCTCCTTTATCACCCCATCCCCTTTTTCCCCCCAGTTCCTTCAGAGTTAGGTGAATCCTCCTTTTATGTTAAAAGATAAAGACAAACTTGGGAAAATGACAGGTAAGGGTTTATAATTTAAATTAATGACCGTTAAGGGCTTTAAAAATTAAAATTTCTTATAAAGATTATTAAATTAAGCTACTGCGGATTTTTTATGAAGTTATTAATGGCGCTTTTTAGAAATGTGATTTAATACTACCTCTATTTTTTAATATAAGATCTAGTTGACTAATTTGAGCAGATTAAGAAAATTAGTTATGTGTAATAAATAGGTGTTATTTTTTCTAAAATATTTTTACTAATTAAGTATATTAACTAAAATTATCATTTGATAAAATATTTAACATAGACAACTACTATAAGGATTATTTTGAAAAAAAATAGATAAACATAGGAAACAAAATAAATTGGAATACTATATTTAGGATTAAATTGAAAATTAAACTAGTGCTTATATTAAGAATATGAGGTAATTTCTTATATTTTATAAGTGATATTTAAAAAAAAAAAATTTAATTTATACAAAATTAGTTAATACTCCTTATAATAAGATTAAGAACTTGAAGGAGATTTCGGTTCAAAAAAAAAAAAAAAACTTGAAGGAGATTTCAGTCCAAGATTTTAATTAAGTTATTTGGGTTTTTTTTGGGTGGCCTTGGGGCCTAATCCTAATAACTTGAAAATAGGTGCTATATTAACTTAATTTACGATGTTGCCATTGGTCCACAGTGTTGAAAAAGCAGCCAACCGTCTGGCTGCTTGGTCAGCACTTATTCCTTGCCCCTTCCTTACAGGAGAACGACAGAACCGACCATCACCATGTCATTGGTTTTACATTTTTTGTTCCACTAATGCCCCTGCTTATGCATTTAATGCCTATTTACTCCCTTTCCAATCTTCCTCTATAATCCAATCACATCAACTAAAAATTACTTCTTCCTTGTTTTCTAAATTGAAATAATAATAGTTCATCATGTCTTGGATACAAATTTTAAAGTTTATGTTTCTCTATTAAAAAAAAAGTTTATGTTTCGTTGAGTTTACCAAAAAAAAAAAGCCTTCCTTTGTAAATTTGCCTTTTGCCCCCTTTACAAAGCCACCTTTGGATGATATATAATTTCACTTGGGAATGGAATTGCTTAAGGAGATATCACATTTTCAATTAATTGATAGAAAATTTCACCATTTTACTTTTTAGAATATCATATAAAAAAATATTTTGACGAAAGTCAAAAAGTATATTGCAAAATGTCAAAAATATAAGGCAACATTTTTTAAATTAAAAAATTTAAATATACTTTTATTGATTTAAAATTAATTATATAGTGCATCATTTATAATACTTTGTTAGATTAAAAAAAATCAAAAAATTGAAGATTATTGATACTACGGTACCAGTATAATAGTATTGTAATAACAGGTCACTTTGAAAATATCAAATTTGCAGTGTTGTAGGCTGGGGGAAACATTTGCATCGGAAATGAGGCAAAAGTGAAACATGCCAAATTAAAAATAATGCCTACAAACATCTGCATTGGAATTTGCTAAATTTTTATATGCAGAAAAATATTAATATTCTACCTACTTTGTACACACAATGTATTAATGTATTGATACTTTGGTTAAGTTCTTTTAACCAATAAAATTTCTAATGAAATTTTTTCTGAATTTTCCTCTGCTGTAGTAAATAAAAGTTAATTCAGATAATTATTTTTTTACCAAATAAAATCATTATTTCATATTTGACACACCCAACACATTAAATTAAATCTTCAGTACCACTCTATTCTTTATTATAGGTTACTTGTACCTTAAAAGTTTGTTTCAAAATATAAATCACATGTAGTATATTTAATGATTTTTTCCTAATTTTACCCTTCTCAATTTAATAAAAAATTAATTAATTTAAGTTTGAAACAATAACTCCTCTAAACACGTCCCTCTCCCTCTCCCTCTCTATTTCTCTCTCAACTTTTCATTTCCTATGCAGTTTGTCCCCTCCCTCTCTCTCAACTTTTTATTTCCTATGCAGTCCGTTCGAATATATAAAACTCTTTCATGCATTTTTAAATATCTTTATTTAATAAAGGTAAATGTGAAAAAAAAACTAGTTAATTTAATATCCTTCTTGGTTTGCGGGTTTAGGATACAAATAACTTATAATAAGGAACAAAGTGGTATATGTCTCATGCATGATAATAAAAGAATTCTTGACAGGATATCAGCACATTTAGAGAAATAATTCATCTTTCATTCTATAACATGGAGACACTTAAAGAGCTCATGCCTATTCCTCGTTCACTCCCTACATTTGATATTGAAGAATCCACCGGAACCAAAACCAGTAATGAAATTCAAATACTTAGGGAGTGTTTGGATAGAAACCAAACTATGGTTTCAGAAGTATTTTTACGGTTTACGAAGTAAATATGTGGAGGAGTTTGTCTCGTTTTGCGGAAAAGTGCTTCTAAGAAGTGTTTTTTGTGGTTGCCAAACACTCCCTTAATAGACAAGATTTTATAATAATTTCTTGGTGGTGGTAATTAAGATGTTTCACTCATCTTTATTCTTATTTAATTGCACATACAAAAAAGACAAAACCCATAACTTCCTACTTATGAGAGAGTATTCATGCAACGAAGTTACAGTATATTTGACTCAATTAAACTTTCTTTCTTTTCATGTGCAAGTGAAAACTATTTGGGTCATGGCTGTACAAGTCTTTTAAAAATAGGCCAACTTTTTTATGCATATTAGGACCTGTTTGGAACAGTTTATAAATAGTTTATAAATAGTTTTTCAATAATGATTTAGTGAATACAAGGTAAATATGTGACAAAAATTTTGTTTTGGTTTATATGAAACGCGCTTATAAGAAATTTCCACTATAATCCCAAACAGATGCTTAATATTTTGAAGAAGAAAAATTTGAGCTTAGTTGCTAAGAGTTTTGTCCCAAATGACACTCTGTACCTTTTTTCTTATGGGTTTTAGAACCCAAATGACAAAAAATAAGGGTTAAGTTTTTTAATGGGTGCGTGGGTGCCGTTTCTTAGGAGAAGGAGGATTCAATTGTCCAAATAAAAAAAACATATGTTTGAGCTACTATATTTAACTAGCCACCAGGTCGCCTAGTAGGGGCTGACCTATTCACCCCATTGTCCACTTGTGAAGATTGAAATTTTTGCTTTAATTTTTATATATGATTTAGAAAAATCTAAATCCTTTTTGTGTGGGCCATATATCCTTTCACTTGTCTCCCTTCCGTTCCCTCTATTTTGGAGGCTTCATGGTACAGGTGTGTACCTTCACCTTCCAATTACATCATAAAGACTCTCTTGTTTTCTTTCTTCCCTTCTATTGTAACATAAATACTGATTCCATTTTTGTATGTTTTATAAATTTATAAATACTACAAATTATTATTTATTAATATAAAATAAGAACATGATGTTATTAGTAATTATAAGGCAAAGGTAATAAGAAAAAAGTGTCCTTTTTTTTTTCCCCTCCCAAAGCAATAGTAATTATTTGAGTAACTTGCCTCGACCCAGGTAACAACAAACTGTGCTTTTCCTAGAATCCCTGTGAAAACCTGCAACTTCATGCTGTGCCTCATTGACATTGAACTACATGCGAACTTGTGGGCCCCATATGGCCTTCCTCCTTTCACATATGAGAAATTGAGGGGTAGTATTGTACTTCCATACTTGGCTGTAAAAAATAATGGAAGAGGGCGTTATGTAGGCACTTGTTTCTCCCATCCATCGCATCCTTTTTTTTAATTTGTTTTATTGTGATTATTTTCATGCTTTTTCTCACCTTTTTTTTCTTCTGAGCACTATGCTTTTTCTCACTTTATATGCGCACTTTACTTTGGGAAGAATTCTTCTTCGTCATCCCCCTTTATTTATTTCACTCTTCTGCTTCTCTGCCTCTCTGTTCTGCTCTTGAGCTCTGTCAGAAGCTTCAACAATGGCAGACATTACCCACCTTCCCATGGAGCAGCTTCAGGACCTTGAGTACTGCATCGACTCAAATCCTCCCTGGGGTATTCTTCTACATCTGTCATTTGGGTTCTGTGTTCATTATCGTCATGTGAACATGGGCTCATGGGTCTGCTTGTCTCGAGATGCTTATCTCGTTCATTATCATCCTTCAAGCTTTTACTTCCGACTTCGTCATCTTTTAGAGACAGCTTATCATGCATTTAACTTTTGAACTTGGTCATTTAGAGCATGAGATACTTGACAGGAATCTTTGCGGTTTCGAAGATCATGTCAGTGCTTTGGCGCTTTGCCAACCTCCAGTGACTTCCTTTTATCATGGCTTGATCTTCAAAAACAAATCCTGGAAGCTTTTGCATATACCGGGTTTCCGATTAGTTTACAAGAGAACTGTGGGATTTAGTTTGAAAGTTCAAATTTTTATTGTCGTTGAGATAAAACGGGACTCTGCATTTTTTCGTTAGTATTTTTCTCCCTTGTTTTCGGCCTTGTTTGCTATTAAAAAGATTTATTTAAAATTCGAAAGTGAATGGCACTATCACATGATTTTTAAGACATCTTCAACTTCCCATTATTTTCTATTTATACTTTGCTGCTAACTATTAAACCGTCAAAACCATCGCGTAACGACACTAGTAATAATGGCTTAGTTACTGCCATTCTTCTCCTTCTATCGAGGTTACTCTTGGTAATTAAAAATTAATCACCAATGAAATCAAAGAGGCCCCACAAATTATTTAATGACTAACCCTCTATTTTATTTATTACACCGTTCATAGACGAAATATATTCTGGGCTTTGTGAGTTATTTTGTTTTGTTGTCAATGGCGTCATTCTCTACAAGAAATTTTGAGTGTTCAGTTGATGTGCTGCATTGGGACATTTAAAATTGGTGGATTCATTGCATTCTAAGTGGCCACATCGTTCATATTTTAGTCCTTCACACGTGCTAATGAAAGCTCTAACCTCTTACACTGATTCACCGAGAAGTTTTCTTTTGTTTTTAAATAGTCAATGACGTAGGACTAAGTGATTTTAATGCAATATATAATTTGTTAGGTTTGATATTCATGCGGTAATTATCTCGTAGAGTACATGGGATGTTCATGTTCATGCCATAACTTTAAAGGGCAAGGAAAGGGATTGAACCCAAGACATCATCAAGCTCACCTTTATCGTGGAACAGCAGCTAGAACAATCTAATGTAGTTAGTAGGTCCATTAGAAGGATGTAAGAAAATTGGCTGAGTGTAATAGAGCCTCTTCCAAGGCTAGTGTTTTATTTAAGTTAGCTGACTTTTTCTTCCTTTTTGCATCACTTGAAGGTCATGAGGTGGTCATTATAAGAATGAGTTGGTGCCATTTCGAATGTTAAAAACAAGTCCAATTTAAATTTTCCTGCCAGAGGCATGTAAACATGTAGTATTTTCTGTTGCCTTCACTTTTCTGTGGAGTTACGTTAATTTCATTTCAGTTGAGTGGCTATGTGTCGTGAATGTGCATGAGCAAGTGTGTTGCCAGATGTTCTGTTTGCTTTGTCGTTTTCATTTCCTGCTCACAGTGAATGCCATGTGTTGCAGCTGAAACCATCCTTTTGGCATTTCAAAATTACATACTGATGCTTGGCACAAGTGTGTTGATCCCTTCAATAATTGTCCCAGCTATGGGAGGAAATGCTGTAAGCTAAAATTCTGCTTTCTTCTTGGATTCTTTCTTCCAATGAACCTCTGTCTTGCATGCTTATGATTAGCTTGCATGTCATTTTTCCTGATCCACTTAGCAGGATAAAGTATTTGTCATCCTAATTGTTGAGTCACAATAGTTGGTTCTACATTTTGGATTATATTTGTATGGTCATTGATGCTTTCGGGTCAAGTTTTGGCCAGAAATTACGGGCTGCATGTGTCAGTTAGGTGTGCAAAGCACTTGTAACTTTTTGACAGATTATCAGAACTTCTATTGTTAGTGACTTGCTTACTTGTTAAACCAGGGTGATAAAGCACAAGTGATACAGACTTTACTCTTTGTTGCTGGCATTAACACCCTTCTCCAAGCACTGTTCGGAACAAGATTGCCTGCAGTTGTTGGAGGCTCTTTTGCTTATATAATTCCAGTTGCTTATATAATTAGTGACTCCTCGTTGCAACAGATCAGTGATAACCATGAAGTAAGTTTCCTCCTTTCATTTCCTAATTATTTTCCTTTGGATGCATTAACCAAACCTTGTCTTTCTTGGCTACTGAGAACCAATCAAGGAAATGTTAATGCAATGGTGATTCTTCAGTCCTCTCATGGGACTCTGAAATCTTGGAAACCCATACTTATCTCAGCATTAAACGTGTGGTATGAGGTAGTCAGTGAAGTGGAAAATATAGAATCGTATGGTTCAAATTAATACTAGCTAACCCAGATCATGGAACTCAATTATACCAATGGTGATTTAATTGATTTAAGTTCACATTATATGACATATGCATCCTAAAATAACTTTAGCTTTAAGTATACTTAAATCAAGTTCTTATCTGGTAGTGTATTGAAAGAGATCTCCCCGTGTGATTGGTTTGCAGAGATTTATACAAACAATGCGAGCTATACAAGGAGCTCTGATTGTCGCCTCAAGTATTCAGATAATCCTTGGTTACAGCCAAGTTTGGGGACTTTTTCAAGGTACACAAGTTGCAAGTGACAATGGCTGTGAAATCTAAATGACTAAATAAATTAATTGGTTATTTAGTGTGACATGGATCTTCTCTCCAGATTTTTTAGCCCTCTTGGCATGGCACCTGTAATTGGATTGGTTGGATTAGGACTATTTCAACGTGGATTTCCTCTGGTAGGCATTGATCTGAGCTGCTTCAAATGTTATCCATCAAAACAATTTTGAGTTAAAAGCTCAGGCTAAATTCTTTATGCGTAGTGTCAATTTGTCATGATATTTTTGTTATACAGCTTTTTAGAAGAGTATCTTTTAACTGATACAGAAATCTGTGATTACAATATTGCCATCTAAAAGAAAATGTGTTCTGATTATGATAAGCTAATAAACAAGTAATTTTAAGGAACATATCTTCCTTCTGACTTCTGATGTTGCCACCTATTCTTAAAGTGAATTCATATTCTTTTGCTGAAGTTTTGACATACTATTAGGGTTCCTCTTGTTTCTGTCTTTCTAGGATTTTAACCAATGTCAACTTGTATTGCGTGTTTATATGATATTTTCTTAATTAAAATCCTTCTCTCACTGTGCTTGATATACCTGATGAATATTTGTCATATTACCTTGAATAAGTTATACAATTTGATCTTTAATTTTCTCTTCAGCTGGGGAACTGTGTAGAAATTGGCATACCGATGCTGTTGTTGGTAATTGGATTGTCACAAGTAAGTACTTTGGTTTAACTAGAACATAGAGCATCAAAGTATTATGTAATTCCTTCGCACCAACGAATTTGCTAAAATTGCAGTATCTAAAGCACGTGAGACCATTTCGAGATATCCCTATCTTTGAACGCTTTCCAGTGCTGATTTGTGTTACACTTATATGGATCTACTCTGTTATCCTGACTGCCAGTGGAGCTTACAAACATAAACCTAACTCCACACAACGTAGTTGCCGTACAGATAGAGCAAATCTGATATCTACTGCCCCATGGTACGCTACGACGCCATTTTTATTTCTCTCATATGTTTAAAGTTTTGCTGGATTTTGAGATTTCTTTCTTTTCCAATAGGTTCATGTTTCCATACCCTCTTCAATGGGGCCCCCCTACGTTTAATGCTGGCCATGCATTTGCCACAATGTCTGCTGTTATTGTGTCAATGGTGGAGGTATCATTTTTCATTCTTCAAATTTTGTCTTATTTTTTTATTCTTTATTTTTTTTGGTGAAATTATTTTGTTATTCTTGCTAATGTGGGAATTTGGATCCAATTTTGAAAGAGATAAACTGAACACGCATGGGACCCATACAAGGTCTGATCCACCACTCAAGTAGAGCTTATACATGTGTTTATCTCTCTTCAAACTTTAGAGGGTCCCAATTTCTAATTTGGCAAGGTTAACAGAATATTTGGCTTGAGGGTCAAATTTAGAACTGTATTACCTGAACCTGTGTTTATGTAACTATGGACTTCTTGAAAGATTTGTCTCGGATTCATAAAGATTTTTTAGTTTGTCCCCAATGAAAGAAGGAAAACGGTTTTGTGTGGATTTCAGCAAGACTTGGAATTTTCATTCATATTTGGGTGAAATTTTTAACAGTGTCTCCTAACTGTAAAATTTTCTGCAGTCAACTGCAGCTTACAAAGCAGCCTCTCGGTTGGCAATTGCCACTCCACCTCCTGCTTATGTGTTAAGTCGAGGCATTGGTTGGCAAGTAAGTTACTCTGGAACAAGTCAATTATTGATATGGCCTGAAGTAGATGTGCTTGTTAAACATGATCCTAGATTTTTGATAGTGACTGGTGTGTATAATAGCAAAATGCAGCACTGTTTCTTGCAGAGTTTGCAAATCCTGCCATGATTTTGAGTAAAGAAGTATATTAGCATTCAAACTTTCCTCACAATTATGTGAAGAAACTGTTGCAGTTTTGTCTGCGAGAATGACTGTAAACTTGTAACCTGAGGATATTACAGGGAACAGTTTCTTAGTATATTTCTCAGTGCTTCTGTCTCCATTCTTCTGTGCTATTCTTTTTTGTTTTACATGCAAATAGTTACATTACAGTATGCACAGCTTCCCTTTGGCCCTGCTGTGTTATTCACTGATTTTATTTTACTTGTATATGAACAAGTAGATTTGTGTCTATTCCCTTTGTACTAAAACTTTTATGAATACTGCAAAATCCATGCGTGCATGCTAATTTGTATTTTGTTATGTTAGCTTGGATTTCACTGTTTCTCATATGGCATAAAATAAACGGCTCGCAGAGAAGAAGGCTGATCTTTTCTATTTGTACAGGGGATTGGCATCTTGCTCGATGGTCTTTATGGAACAGGGACTGGTTCTACAGTTTCTGTGTAAGTCTCATCCTTCCATGGGTTTCGTGCAAGCTGCTGCTTCTTGTCTATGTTCTTTAAATGTCTCAACATTAACTTGATGTCATTTTTATGGCTGTTTGTTTTGTAGGGAAAATGTGGGACTCCTCGGGCTAACCCGAGTTGGAAGTCGCAGAGTTGTTCAGATTTCTGCTGGTTTTATGATATTCTTCTCTACCTTAGGTTGGTATATACCTCTGAAACATTAGTCTGAACTTCTACAAGGGAAGTCACTTCTTAATTAATTCCATGAGGATTGCAAGCCTCACTAACCAATATTGTTTAGCTCTTTTTATTATCACTATCAGCAATAAGGAAATATGAGTAGTTTCCCTCACCTGAGGCTCTTTGGGTTCTCTTTTCTGTTTTCTGCAGGAAAGTTTGGAGCTGTGTTTGCATCTATACCCATCCCCATATTCGCTGCACTGTACTGTATTCTCTTTGGCCTTGTTGGTATGTATCAGGTCGGGCTAGATTTGATCTTTATACTTGATTATTTTTCTATTTTTCACAAGAACTTTTCTTGTTTGTTCAGCTTCAGTGGGGTTATCATTTCTTCAGTTCACAAACATGAATTCCATGAGAAACCTTATCATCACTGGGCTCACATTATTCCTTGGAATATCCATTCCTCAATTTTTCTCTGAGTATTGGACTAAACGTGGAGGCCTTGTGAATACAAATGCTGGTTGGGTGAGTTGTTTTCCCCTTTCTGGAAGTCTTGACGAGTTAGAAGGCGTATGCCCCGTTGATCGTGTTATTTATTTGCATTTGTTCCTGAAAAGGAAACCGAACTTTTGAGCTTTTACTACTACTTCCATCACCATGTTTGATTTCATCCTTGAAATGTGTGGCCTTTTCTGACTCTAACATGAGCACATGACAAAGTAAAATTACTCAGCTATTTGCTACTAGATTCTCCAATAAAAACATTATCAATTATGAAGAAACTTTGTTAAAAGAAGTAATCATGTAAAGTTATACTACCTCTTAAAGTCACAATACTCTAGCTCACACGGCTAAAAAAGTTAAAAGTTAGTTCTTATCATTAAATGTCCTCCAAATTGAATTCTTTCCAAGTTTGCCCTTGATAATGAATGAGTTACTATCTTTTAATTGTTTATTCTTTTTCTCTCATTTTGATTCCCAAATTTTACATAGGGTTATTTGTGCAAATGGCAACTTGTATTTTGGTCCCCGAGACTTCCAAAGAAGTGGCTTATATGCAAGACTATTTATTTTCCCATGTGCTTCTATGAAGGAACTTGGACTTGCAGTAAATAGCCCTCTGGTCTTGTTATAATATCATATCATGAAAACGAGAATTTGATAAATAATCAATATAGAATATAAGTTGTATTATTCACAAGTCATGAAGCTTACCATGTTTTGGCCAAAAAAAGAAAAACGGGAAGCTCACCGTGTAATACATGGAGAAGCTTTGGTTAGTCCAGCATATCTTAAACACAAATGCTGTACCTGGATTCATTCTTGTTGATTTTGTATGCAGTTTAATGCATTCTTGAATACCATATTCGCTTCACCGGCGACAGTGGGTTTGATCGTGGCGGTGTTCCTTGACAACACGATGGAAGTGGAAAGGTCAAAGAAAGACCGAGGGATGCCGTGGTGGGTGAAGTTCAGAACATTCAGGGGAGACAACAGAAACGAGGAGTTCTACACTCTGCCATTCAATCTCAACAGGTTTTTCCCTCCTACTTGATGATGTTGATGCCAAATCAAAGGCAAGGTGTTTGTAGGTCAGAGAGGTGAGAGAAGAGGAATTCGTGAGAAATGTAAGCAAATGCAATTTTTCGTTCACTATCATTCCATTTTTTTTTTGGGGGGCCATGTAAGCCTTGGTCCAGCATAGGCTTGTAAAGCTTTTGGGACCCAAGCTTGGTAGATTCAATAAAAATCAAAGTTCTTCAAGATGCAACCCTTACATGTTTGGTTTCATGCCCGGGTATTCTGGTCCATTGATGCTTTACCTCAATTTTTTCTTGAGCTTAAGGCTGAAAATTCGATCTTTTAATCAGTCCAAGAAAAAAAAAATCGATCTTTTAAGGGTACGATGAGTGCGTCAATTTATGCTACTAGGTGAATGATGACCAAAAAGAAAAACCTTCGTGTTAGAAATTACTAAAATCTTTCATCTTAGGAATTATTGAAATCTTAGTTAAAGCATATTTTCATCTAAGCATGATTTTATTATTATCTCTTGTCTTCAATAACTAGATGTTATATTTAGAATTGAAGGCGGTAGTTTTTGAGGTGGAATTATTGTCTTATACTATCTCTGGTTCTAATTATAAGATCTCGTTTGTCTACAATGTTTGGAAAACTTGCATAGGTTTTCATACTTATGTTTGTGTATTCTTTCTTCTTCATTAATTCTTAAGGAGATTTGCATTGGAATTTGAATATATCTTGCATGCAAATTGCAATTGCAACTATTGATATATTATTTTCAGTCCTTAATATAAGAGTTAGATAAATAATTTGAAGATAGTAAAAAAATTAGTTAAATTGGTTATTTTTTACAATTATGTATTGGTTTTTTTAAACTTTTATCTTCAATTATATACATTAGATGATTGAAATTATTTTTTAGTGGAAATTTTTTACAGTCAATAAAGATATCTTAGAATAAAGTGAGAGACAAAATAGATTGGGATTTTATATTTAAAATAAAATCTAATTTTCAATTAGTAAGGGAAGACAGTATAATGGTCGGTTGTATTGCTTGCTTTCTCAAATCATGTCATATCAATATTAATTTCTGCTCCACAAAACGAGAAAACCAAAAGTCAAAACGCCAATCCCATATGTGCTCTTTTCAATTCCGTTTTTAAATAAGACGAGGCCCATTATCAGAATTGGGTCCATCACCTGGTATTCTCTTTCATTATCGCCTCTATTATTGTTTGCTTTTCAGTTCTCACTCTTTTTCCCTACGGATTGGTCTCGCTCTTCATTGTTCCATCATTTCAAAATTCGTCTGTAAGTGCATATACACAAAGATAGTGAGGCATTGGTTCATGAGTTAGGGGCTTAACTAGACTCAAATTAGGATCAAATTATTCATGATTAATTAAAATATATAGAATGCTTATAAAAAAATTAAAATATATAAAATATTTATATATAATCATTAAAAAATAATATTTAAATCCATAAGTGAATGGAATATTCATACATAAATCATATAATTTAATAAAACAGAACTGTTAAAGCATAAATTTGGTGAACTGTTAGTTGTTTCTTTTTTAACTCATTTCAAGTTTAATAACTTTTTTACGAGTCTTCTCGGAATTCTGAGAGAAACTAACAAATGTTTGTTATTTTGACTATGGATAGGATCAAATTAAGAGTTTGTGTGAAAGATTTTATAAATATCTTTTCAATAATAATTTATAAAATATAAGATAAGTATGTGAGAAAAATTTTATCTCGACATAAATAAAATATCCTTATAAGTACTCAGGACCATGATTTCAAACGGCCTTAAATGGATTTCTATTTAGAGCCCAAATGATTGAAGTCATAACGCCATCTTTCATTCAAGAATCTGCATACAAAATCCAGACTTTTTGCCAGTTTCCACTGATTTCAAAGCAGTGACAAATATTTATCCTTTTGATCATCAACAGGATCAAATCAAAAGGGTGTTTGGCAACTTTTAAAACTATCTTTAAAAAGTATTTTTCTAAAAAACGAAACAAATTCCTCCATATATTTATTTCATAAACCGTAAAAATATTTTTAAAATTATAGTTTGGTTTCTACCTAAACACTTCTTGGGTTTTCATAATCTAATTGACCCGTCCAACTTGCATGACTTATGTAATTAATCCTATTTTGGGCCTGTTTGGAGGGCTTAAAAAATCTCCCACAAATACATTTCACGTAAGTCGAAATAAAATTTCTCTTATATACTTATCTTGTATTCCGTAAATCACTATTAAAAAGTTATTTATAAACTACTTATAAACTGTTGTTTTAAAGAGATGTTTTACAGGATAAGACTTCTTGCTGCGGCCTCATCCAGCTTACCAGTTTGACTGGGTTAAACTCAAGTTGCGTTGCTTAATTTTCAGTTCATGCATCAGCGAAACAGGCTAAGTGCCTAATCATCAGTCCGAACTATCAGCTCAGCATAGATCTCAATGCAATGGAATACATGAGTCACTAAATTTCCCAAAGGAGTGATTTTCCTGCTAAAATCTTCTCGAGATTCAAGAACCCAACCTCGCTGCATCATTGCCCTACTAATATTGCTTTCAGCATCTATCTCATCGCATGCTTGACTATTCAAACTACTTTTTAGGCTATTAAAAACATTTATATTTATTTAATAATTTTCTCAACTACTCATTGTTATTGATTCTTTTGAGGCTGTCGTAGTCATAGCAGCAGCATGAACGGCAAATCAATCATTTTAATTATTTTTCATTTCAATTCGGTTAGTGAAAGAAGCTTCCAAAAATATACAAACTAAAAATAACGAGTCAACGTCATACAGTTGGTTTCCATCCCTTGTAAGTTAATCTTATACAACAACATAATTCAAAATTTGTTATTAAACAGAGTACTTTAATATCTAATCTTATATATTTTAATGTAACTCTCTTTTCAATTGCTGAGGTACATTACATTACATGTCATGTCGGATTTGCTGTGTTGCTTGCAAAAGCCCCAATCACCAAACCCTTTGATAGTGTTTTGTGTTCCCACACACAAATCTAAAGCCTTCACCAATAAATATTCCTCTGATACTGTACATAAGACAATTCCAGTATATTTTATATGAACTAAAAAAAACCTTAAATTGTATTAATTATTTATTAAAATATATTCATTTAAATTTTATTCCTATTTAATTATACTCATTTAAAAAATAATAATTATCAATACTATAATAAATGAAAGACAAAATAGTACATTTATCCTAAAAATTTAATTAAGTAACTTACAAATAGGATTAAGAAAAACCTTCTTTCTCTGCCTTATAAATAGGATCAGAAGTAATATGCTCTTAGCCTTAATTAGATAAGCCTTACATCATAAATAATGAGCATAAATTCATGTTAATCACCTATTAATTAATTCAAATTACGCGACTTAAAAAGATTACAATATGTAAAGGATTAAAAATAACTAATATAAAATACAAAAATTATAAAAAGTAAACATAAAATTATGTAGTTCAAATAAATGAATTTGCGCTTGGCCCACAAAAATGAATGCAAAAATTCAAAGAATTGACTATTTTTACCAGCTCAACAGTTCATAATTAACTAATGGTTAAAGTTTCGAGTTTGAACTCATATAAATGCAAAAAGTTGTTAGGAGAGTTGTTCTCAGTTGGACTTGGACCGATAAAATTTAGGAAAATAAGTTGAGGGGAAAAGAAAACATATTACCAACCTAATATTATGGGCAGGTCAAATTTACGATCTCTCATTTATTTATAGATAAGTTTACCAGAATTAGGATTTTTTTTGACAAAAAAAGACTACAAAATTATTGACCCAATAAGCCTAGTTTGATTTTTAATGCGCTGTAAATAGTATTATAGCAATGATGATCTGTCAATAGTTTATTTTACTATATGTTTTCCGGCAATAATATCATAATGTCCATTTAAATATATTACGCATTGCTAGGCTGCGAGTGCCAAACCACGTGGTGATGATTGTGTGTATGCTTGTCCTTATCGTGTCATACGGCCACACCAACGTGGCTTGCGTATCTCCCTATCCCGAACGGCAGCCTCCCGACTGGGCCCCGCCAGCTTCCATTACGTCGCTGATTGCGACGGAGAAACACCAAGAACTTCCGGTGGGTCCCACGCTCAATCATAGTAATGCTTTCGAGTGGGGGGACCCAAATTAAGGGACCCCCATTCCTTAAAGTGGATGCGCCTTCACCGCATATCTTACCCACAACGTCCCTGCCCTTTGTGCTGGAGCACTCTTTTTTGTGGGCCAATGTGTGCTCCCTTTAACCACCAAAAAGGCTCATGTATAAGTTAAATACTCCTCCGATCCTTATTATAAGACCCAATTTGACTTTTTATTTGGTCCTAATTATAAGACCCAATCCATTTTTTCTTTTATATTTATGCATTTTTTTCCAAGATAATCCTTCTAATAATGATAGTTTTAGCCAATATACTTAATTAGCAAGGATATTTTAGGAATAACAACACTTATTTATTATAAATAACCAACTTAACTTACTTCCTTAATCTCCTCAAATAAGTCAATTGGGTCTTATAATTAGGACCGGAGGAGTAGTAGGCCATTATACTCGGGTCATTAATATAGGACTTAATTATTGAGTTGGTTTTCATTCTAAATATAAGACCTATTTTTTATATTTATCAATTTTTTCTAAATTACCCCTAGATACTCCCTCAACCATAATCAAGTAGAAGAGGGAGAGGGGTATTAAAAAAGATAATTATGGTGTTTTAGGAAAAACGTATCACATTTCTTATAATTAACTAACTTACCTAACTTTCTTAATCTAATCAAATTAATTGAATGGGTCTTATATTAAGAACCGGAGGAGTACATAAATTATTGCTTTTCAGCTATGTGTATTGCAAATAATTGAAGATTCTCATCTTGTATGTTGGATATGTTCATTTTAATAAAAGGAAACCTCTTGTGTGTGAATTAAAAAATAAAAAAAATCATCCCATAATTTTGTCAACTATACACAACTCTAAAAAAACGTGAAATAATACGTGCTTTATATTTTAATTTTGGAATTACATCATTGACGATTTTTTAGACAACAACATTGGATTTTACTA